TTTGGGGTATTTTTGAGGTACCTCCCAGAGGAGCCCGGCCATGGGGGGCATCCTGGATTTTGGGATGATTTTTGAGTGGATTTGGGGGGGATTTTTTTGGGGGTATTTTTGGGGAGATTTGGGGGGATTTTTGGGGTGATTTGGGGTATTTTTGGGGTACCTCCCAGAGGTGCTCAGCCCCAGGGTGGAATTCTGGATTTTGGAGTGATTTTTGAGTGGATTTGGGGGGAATTTTTGGGGTATTTTTGGGGAGATTTGGAGGGATTTTTGGGGTGTTTTAGGGGGGTATTTTTGGGTGGATTTGGGGTATTTTTGGGGTATTTTCGGGTACCTCCCAGAGGTGCCAGGCCACGGGGGGGTCTCCCCACGAGTGCTCCACGTTGAGCCCCACGCGCCCCGAGGGGAACACGACCAACGTCAGCGACTTGTCAAACCACCTGGGGGGGACACGGGGGGGGTCCCAAAATCCCCAAAATCCCACCCTGGGACCCCCCCCCAAAATATCCCCCAGCACCCAAAATATCCCAGACTCCCCAAAATTCCCCAAAAAAGCTCCAAGAAGCACCTGGGGGGCGACCAAAATCCCCCCCCAAACACCCCAAAATCCACCCTGGACCCCCCCAATTCCTCCTGGGACCCCCAAAATCTTCCTCAAGGGACCCCCCCCAAATCCCTGCTGGGGGTCCTGGGTTGGGATTTGGGAGATTTGGGGGGGAGGATGGGGGTCCAGGGGGAGTTTGGGGGGATTTTGGGGGGTTTTGAGGAGATTTTGGGGCAATTTTGGGGGAATGTGGGGGGACTTTGGGGGTCTCGGACCAGATGTGGGCGGGGTTTAGGTGTTCCCAGGGGGAATGAGGGAGGTTTTGGGGGGAAATTTGGGAGGTTTTGAGGGGATTTGGGGAAATTTTGGGGGGACTTTGGGGGTGGAGGGGGTCTCTGATTGGTTGTGGGCGATTTGGGGTTCCCAAGGGGATTTTGGGGAGTTTTTGAAGAGATTTTGGGGGGTTTTGAGGGGATTTTGGGGGTCTCTGACCAGTTGTGGTTGGGTTTAGGAGTGCCCAAGCAGAATCTGGGATGTTTTGGGTGGATTTTGGGGGGATTTTGGGTGGATTTGGGGAGGATTTTGGGTGGATTTGGGGGGGATTTGGGGGGTTTTGAGGGGATTTTGGGGGTCTCTGACCGGTTGTGG